AGGCCGGGCCGGCGCACTCGGCCAGAACCGGGGCCAGAGTGAGCTGCTTGGCCGGGGCTGGACTGGGCCGCGCCGCGCCTCCCCGGAGCCCTTCTCGCGCCCCCCGCCACCTCAGTTTACCTGGTGCTGCCAGCCTGCCTGCCCGCCCCTGCTTCTTTTCAGACTTCCCGCGAACCTCTGATTCGCGGGAAGCAGGGGACGGGGAGGAGCAGGAGGCGGAGTGTTCAGGAGAGGGAAGGAGGAAGAAGTGAGCTGGGGGTGGGGTGGAGAGCTGCGGCGTGGGGCCCTCTTAGCGCGGGGCCCGATTCAGCCGAATCAGCTGAATCGGCCTAAGGCCGGCCCTGCTTACAGTGAGCATGCTTTAGAAGCCGCCAGAACCCAGTCAGAGCAGCAGTGTGTATGTAGCTGGACCAGGCATGTTTGTCTATAGGCAGGAAACAGTGGAACCCCACTGTACCGTGTACCATGAAAAAACTCATACAGATACAGACAGACATCATCTTCCTTTCCAAATGCAACCAGATGGACATCATACCAAAAGGGACTAAAGGTAAACAGCTGCTACTCTGAAAACTGTATCGTGTGGTTTCCTCATGTTTCCACCACCTCCCCTGCTAAGCTGTTCCAATGTTTAATCACTGCTAGGAAATGACATCTTATTTCAAGGCTGAATTTGTCAAACTTCCATTTCCAGCCATTGAATCTTGTTAGGTCTTGGTCATCAAGTCTGAAAACACCCTGCTCTCAGATCTCTGTACCATGATGTGTCAGTGCCTAGACACAGTGATCATGTCATCTCTCAACCTCTCTTCAATAAGCTGAGTAAATGGAGCTCCTTGAGCCTCACATGGAAAATCTTGTTTCCCAGCTCCTGGATCATTTGGTGGCCCTCCTTTGACCTTACTCCAGAACTTCCAATCCTTCCTGCAGTGTGGACACCAGAACTGGACACAGTATCCTAGTAGTGGTCCTACCAATGGTCTGTCCACAAGCAAGATTATTTTCCTTTAATATTCCCCTTTTCTTACATTAGCCCTTTTTGCAACAGCATTGCACTGAGAGCTCATGTTGAGGTGATTGTTTGCAGTGACCTCTAAGTCTAAGTTGTTACAACACACAGCACAAGGCCCTGCTCTGGATCAGGGCCTGAGGGCATTACTAGAATAGAGAATTAGTTGAATTCTCCAAAGTGACACATCCCATCAGGATCAGTTCAGTACTGCAGGAATTCAGAGCTTGGCCTTGTGGGCAGTACCATGGGGCGCAGCAGGTTCAGTGGCTCTGGGGGGCTGCACGGGTACAGTGCTTCAGTGGATGGGCACAGTGCTCAGTTGCTGGACATAGAGGGTACAGTGGCAGTGGTGGCACAGCCAGGAAGGGGCCCAGGGCTCAGTGGTGGGGGGGTAGGGGTGCAGTGGAGGGATGCAGGGGCTTAGTGGAGGCGCGCAGCGGGGAATGGGCACCAGGGCTCAGTGGAGGAGAGTGGTGGCTCAGGGGTTCCTTGGTGCCCAAGGCTGCTCCTCAGCTCCTGCCCGGCCTCCCCCTCATCCCCGCATCGCTCCCCTGCCCACTGCCCCACCTTTCTCGGCCAGACACTGACATCTTTCAGTGATTCACTGCGCAGCTCGGGCCAAGCACACTCGCACACCCTCCCGCCATGGAGCGCATGCTGATGATACCTCTTTCCTCTCTCTGCAGAGTCCGGGGTCCCCGCGTGTGCCCAGGAGGCTGGCCAGGGAGAGCTCGAGGACGGTAAGTACAGCCAGGACAGCCGGCAGTGTTGCAGGCAGGGGGTGAGGCCTGGACAGTGATCCCTGCCGCTGTGCCGAGGGCCAGCAGTATGTGGGCCAGCTTCAGGGGCAGGGCAGAGCAGCCTGGGATAGCAAAGAAAGCCCCTGGCGGGTGGGGTGGCCCTGGGGCAGCCAGTCAAACCAGAGGGCACATTTCTAAAGCTCTGTCTGGGGGCTCCCTGCTCTGTTTTTAAGGGGCACTGAAGAAAAAACTTTAACAAAACGGCCTGGGTCAAACATGTCAGGCCAGTTCTTAGCAAAGTGGCCACATCACAAAAATGGAATTGACACTAATTGCAATCCTGTGCGTACTGCCAACAGAGGCCCCGAGTCTCAATGAGCAATAGACATTGAACTGCTCGGAGCCCTAGCAGTGCTACCTCCAGGCAGAGGTGAGGAACATTGGTAGCGAAGCCTGTTCTGCCTGTGTAGAACCTGTTCTGTGAATGAATGGAAATCTTCATTCTTCCGGGCTACCAGGCCAGCATCTTTCACCGGCACTGAAGGTCACACCCCGAAAAACAATACAAATCAAAGTGATACAATTTCACAAGAGATATCTGTGCCCTGAAATGTCATCCATACCTATTGTGTGAGGACTTCTGCCAAGAGTGGCCCACGTGGCCTTCATTCTCTACCCTTTTTCTGCCATTATATATGCTTTTAAGCATGTACATGCACTGAATTCCCCAGACTTAGAAGAAAAAGAGTGATTCCGTTCTAGCACTGATAGAGCTGAAATGGACCCTTTCCTTTGCTTCCAACTTTGTTGGTTTTGTCAGATAAAGTTAAGGCTCACAATAATTGGATTCATCTTCTGCTGCTCTGGGATTTGGAAACTGATTAGTTCATCTGTATGTTACATGGTGGCAGAAAACTGTCTGAGATCCAAAACTCTTTTTCTAAATCTGTCTTCAATAAAAAATCTAGAAAAGAAGTTCGAGCAATTAGTAAGGAATGCTGACTCTGCAAAATAACTATTGCTGATAAACAGCTGGTAAGGAAGTACTTGGGAAATGTGAATACCTACTATACAAATCAGCTGTTCTGGGTGATGTGTCTAACAAGCTTATTGATCCACTACCATTTATTTTTTAAAACTCAGGGACAATTCAGGAGGTAATGAAATACTGGAGAAATGGAAATTTAGCACCTTATTTTCAATGAAGAATGATTCTGCCAATTACCACCCTAGAAGTGGAACTTCTCTCTCTAGCTGAAAGAGAGTAATGCAAGGGCATTAATATCTGGAAACGCATCCAGTTTGGTGGAGATTTCTGGAAGAAGGTGCAGGGATTGCTAGTAGGATCAGTGTTAATTAACATCTTCATTACTGAACCACATTGAATAGTTTGCAACTTTGCATTAGAATCATAGAATCATAGAATCATAGAATCA